CCGGTGCCCGCCACGGCGCTCCCCAGCGAAGCCTCCTGTCCCATCTGCCTGGAGTATTTCCGAGATCCCGTCTCCATCCACTGCGGACACAACTTCTGCCGGGCGTGCATCACCCGCTGCTGGGAATGGTCCACGGCGAGTTTCTCCTGCCCACGGTGCCGGGAGACGGCACCGGAGAGAACCATCCGTCCGAGCCGGGAGCTGGCGCGGGTGCTGGAGGTGGCCAAACGGTTGAGCTTGCGGGCTGCCGGGAGGGAGACGGTGCAGGGGGAAGGATGCGAGAGGCACCGGGAACCCCTGAGCATCTTCTGCAAAGACGACGGAGCCTTCATCTGCCTGATCTGCCGGGAGTCCCGAGCGCACCGGGCTCACGCGATGCTTCCCGTGCAGGATGCTCTCCAGGAATACAAGGTAAAGCGGAATTTTTTCCACCTCGGTGCGTACCACGAGCCAGACCAGCACCCTCAGGGCGTGATGTTCCCTTCCCAGCCCCCTACCACCAGGCTGCCAAGCCCCTTGCCCCCACCCGGGGCAGTAGGTCGGGGGCAGAATCATCGTCCCCCTGCGTTGGCCTCTGCTCTTGCCCCACGGCCCAGGGGCCCGTTTCGAGATGACGGCGTAGCCCACGCACCGGTGCTTCTGCCGTCTCAGTTCTCGCCCCAGAACCTGGTGCTCCGGGAGGTCTGAATCCTCTCTTTCCAGCCGCGAAATCCAAGCCTTGGCCCGGTTCTGGGTCCTACACAACATCTGCTGATGTTCCCTAAGCCAGTTGGAATACGGGCCAATAAAGAACGGGATATTTCATTGCTCCATCAGTGAGTTAAATCAGTCCGGAGAGAGGACCCAGCGCAGGCAAGGGCTGGTGCAGAAAACTTCTTTTTCCCATTATGTGTCATTTATTTCCATTTGAAGCATTCCCAAGCGTTAAATTCAGGATCCCTCTAGACCGAGAGGGACACAAGAAGCTGGAGCTGAGCACAGTGCAAGCCCCTCCCCGGAGTATTTTATTTTTTTGGGCTATCTCAATCCCTGGAGACATGGGGGTCTTTATTTTTAATTCCCCCAGGGACAAATCCAGGCTCGTCTCCAAGCCCTGAAGGAAGACCGAGACAAACTCCTGGAGTTACGAGAGGCTGAAATGAGGAAAAGCTGGGAGTACTTGGTAAATGTTTTTGTGAGGAGGGATGGGTGGGATGAGATGTTGCATGGGAGGTCGTCCTGCTCTGCCCTGGGGCTGGGGTCCCTTTCCAGGTACCAATCCAAGTGCTGCATCGTAGGAATAAACACCAGGGAGAGCCCGGAGCCCTTCCAGGGGTTCAACTGCTGAATGCAAAGCAAAAAATATCTATATTTATGTAAAGGATGTGGGATTCTCGGGACACCGGCTCTTTCTAGGCACACAGGCACCGGCACGTGCATCCTTCTCCTCCCTCCTCTTCCCTTCTTGCGTCTCCTCGCAGGAGAAGACGGAAGCCGAGCGGCAGAAGGTCTTTTCCAGGTTTGAAGGGTTGCGCCTCTTCCTGGAAGACCATACCCACCACCTCCTGGCTCAGCTGGGGGGTCTGGAGAGGGACGTGGAGAAAACGCAGGAAGAAAACATCACGAGCCTGACGAAGGAGATCTCCCGCCTGGAAACCTCGATCCAGGAGGCGGAGGAGAAGTGTCAGCAGCCAGCGAGCGAGTTTCTGCAGGTGAGGGAGGAGGGAACGGAGCCGGGTTATCGCCGCCTGGGTCCGGGCTATGTGCCGGCTCTGGGTATTATCCCATGCTGCAGCCAAACCCAGGATTTGCTCCAAAGCCACAGCCATGCCGTTGGTATTTTGTGTTGCCAAGACCCGTTCTCATGGAGTTTCCTCTTCCCTCTCTTCCTTCCAGGACATCAGAGGCACCTTGAGCAGGTATGGCGCTTCCTGAGCTTCTCCTTCCATCCCAAGCTGGGGAGGGAAGTTGGATTTGGATATATAGGAAATATAGGAAAACCTTTACAAAGCCTCCCCCAAAGTCAGTTTGGTTTCGGGGATGGCACCTCCTCACCTCTTCTTCCCGTCCTCCTTCTCTAGGCTTGAGAAGGAAAATTTCCCGCAGCCCCTGTTGCTTCTCCCGGAGCTGGAAAAAAAAATCGGTCACTTCAGGGAGAAAAATGTTGTTCTGGAGGAGACTTTGAGGAGTTTCCAAGGTACTGAGCGTGGGCTGGGGAGGTGGAGCAACACCTGTGCGAGCCTAAATTTCTATTTACCTGTGTTATCTGTTCATATTATTTATAGATATTTCACTTCCTCTATTTTTTGCTTTATTTACTGAAAGCACAAATTGTATTTTATTGTAATTATATACGTGACCTCAGCGTGGCAGAGCAAACCCATGGCTCTTCTCCCCTCTTTAGACATCCTGATGTTTGAGCTGCCTGAAAAGGGTGAGTCCGCGTCTCCTGGAGGTGAGGGAGTGGGAAGGACCGAGGGATGGATGGGCCATGAGCTGGAGGGTCGTCTGGGGAAGATGTTGGGGCTGAACAAAGCAGTGATTGGTTGCGGGAGGGGGGGGAAGGGGGGCCACAAAATCCCATGGAATCCTCACTGTAACGTGTTGATGGATCCATTTATTTCAATGGAGCCGCGTGAAGACCGAGTTTGCCCCTCGTTTCGGAACGTTCAGGGAGCAGATGCCTAGTTTGGCATTTCTGGAAAAAAAAAAAAAGGAGAGGGGGGTCTTCTACTCCTCTTCCTCAGGACTTTCTCCTCTTACTCCCTTGGGAATGTTCTATTGATGCTTGCCTGGGTCCTGTGGGATGCAGAAAGCAGCCCGTACCTGCCCCCTGCAGCAAGAGCATTCCAAAGGATGGGATGGGATGGTGCTGCTCCCCATCCGTCCCCGGCGGTGAGGCAGAAGCCGAGGCCGCAGGAAATGGTTTGGTGTCCGTTGATGCTCTACTCTCCACCCCTTGCAGTCCAGGTGACCCTGGACCCATCCACGGCTCACCCCCAGCTCGTCGTGTCAGCAGATGGGAAGAACGTGAGGTGGGAAGACGCCCAACGGGATCCGTCGGCTGAGGGCTTCGGCATCGATCCCTGTGTGCTGGGCTGCGAGGGGATCACCTCGGGGAGATGCTGCTGGGAGGTGGAGGTGACCCCCAGAGGCTCCTGGGCAGTGGGGGTGGCCAGGGAGTCCCTGAAGAGGAGGGAAGAGGCCGCTGTGAGCCCCGAGATGGAGCTCTGGTCTATGGGTCTCTGTGAGGGTCAGTTCTGGGCTCTCACCTCCCTTGAGCGTATCCCACTGTACCAGATCCAGGTTCCCAGAAGGATCCGGATCTCCCTGGACTATGAAAAGGGTCAGGTGGCATTTTTTGATGCCGATAAGAGGGCCCTGATATTCACCTTCCCAGCAGCTTCGTTTAAAGGAGAGAGGATTCATCCCTGGTTCCTGGTGTGGAGTGAGGGGTCGCAGATCACCTTGTGTCCCTGAAGCTCTCCTTTCTTACCCAAACACAAGTTTTATGACCCCCAACATCCCTACTTTTAGCACTTTGGAGGACTTTTTTTCTACCAAAGTACCTCTCTGGCCTCTCTTTCCATCCTCCGTGATGCCAAAGGGTTGAGCATTCCTGTGGGTCAGCATCCCATGTTGTCATTCCCAAACTGGGGCATCAGACAAAGGGAGTCACGTCTGCCCCGCAGCGTCCTGCACCGGCTTATGGGATTAGATGGATTAAAAAGATTTACATGTTGGAATATTACTTCTCTGTCCTGTTATTTGCCGTTTCTGGACGTGAGGTTCAAGGGAAAGGGTGAGCTGGAGTTTTGCCTAACTAAATCCCGTTCCTGGTATTTGCACAAAGCCTGTGGGTTGGGCTGGAAAGGGCCGTGGAGGTGACATCCCTGGAAGCCACGTGCCACGCCACGCTCTTACCTGCTGGAAGCCCCAACCAGAAGGAAAGACACCGAGAAAAATAGGTAATTTTTTCTTTATTATTAACATTCTACATCACGGAGATTTCAAACATCAGTTTTTGGAGAAGATAGGGAAAGTTGAGTCTCGGGAGCTTTGCCATCTGTGAACTTTCCGTCAGCGGCGATGCCACGTCGGCAAGAATCCGCGTTGCGGCGCTGAAGGCTGGGATAAACCAGAAACTCGCATTTCTGTATCGGCTCTCCGTGTGTCAGGGACACAGCCTGAGCCGGGACCTGGCCCCCACCACCCAAAGCCATGGGCGGACCCTCTCCCCGGTGAAGGAGGCTTGGGAAAAAATGAACATGAGCCCCCCTTCATCGGCATCGAAGAATGCCACCGTCCCTCTGGCATAGTCCAGGTGGACGCTGACCCGCCGTGGCATCCAACGGAGGGGTAGGAGGGTCACCTTGCGGGTGGTGAGCGCCCGAATTTGTCCCCCCCACTTCTCCACCCCCCAGATCCCTCCCTGTGGGCAGAGGCTGAGCTGCCCCTTCCGACGGATGGACTCACGGGCTACTCCCACAGCCCAATCCCCGCCGTCCCCCACCTCCACCTCCCAGCAATGCCGGCCGGTGGCGAAGCCCTGGCATCCCAGCACGAAGGGCCAGTAGTCAAATCGCTCCGGGTTATCGGGTAGGTCTCGTCGTCCTGCCCCACGTCGC